AGTGCTGATTTGAGACATTCTGAATATTCTTAAAGCACTACTGACCAATCTGTAAACAATCCAGAATATAGTCCTGGAAAACTCCACCCCCCAGAGCCTTCAGCCCTCAAATTCAGTACTGTATCTCTTTTCCTAAGTCCAGGCTAAACGTTCAAGAGTTGGCTCTTCTCCGGTCCACTATTTCTAACGCCTCGCTGGGTTTTACGGGGACCGAGTCTAGGCCTGGAGCCTAAACCAGGGGTAGGCAACCTCGGCTCTTTTATGACTCATGGACTTCAACTCCCAGAATTCCATGAAGTCCATGAGTCATAAAAGAGCCGAGGTTGCCTACCCTGGGCCTAAACCCTACAGGTCACCTACTCCTGGGCAGAGGGCGAGCCCGTCCCGTCCGTCCCTCAAAAGAATCCCACCCTCCGCGCCCTCACCTTTCCTCCTGACTGACTCACACATAATCATCCCCCGCAGCCAAAAAATAAACGGGTGGGGGAAAGGGAGAAGGGAGGAAGCAACCGCTGCGAGCGGCGCAATTGCAACTAACCGCCTCGCGCGCCGTTAAAGCATCCCGCTCCGCCCCTGCTTCAAATCTCATCCGGGAAGGCCCCGGCTTGTGGGGAACCGGCACAGGCAAAGCCCACCAGCAAGCCTGGAGATTAGTCGACCCCGCCCTGGAAAGTCCCTGTCTTGCAGATGAAGCAGGCTGGGCGGTTTTTTTTTTTCCCCCTTCACGCCAGCTCGACTGTTGTGGAGACCGGCTGAGCCCTGCGCGAGGGGAAAACATGAGAAGGGAGGGGGGGGGAATCAGGAGCTCCGGTGGCCGCGGCGCGCCCGGCCTCCAGCGGTCTGGAAACTTGAGGAGTGTCCCGTGGGCAAAGCAAATAATAAAGTTGCCAAACGCGGGAAACATCCACCCGCCGGTGGCGGCGCAACGCTTTTCACGGCGCATTCATGAAAAAGTTTGCCTCTTCTTACTCGGGATGGCTTCCTTGCTTAAGTCGTCTGAAACGATTTCAAATTGCGTTTAAGGCAGAGCTACCTCCAAGCTACACCTGCCCCGCGCGCGGTTTGCATGGGGACTCTAGGGTGTTCCTGAGAGTCGATAGGGGGGGGGTGGTTATATCTGGAGGGGGGGGAGGGAAGCGGGCTAATCGGCTTCGAATTCCATATTCTCTCATTTGCACGTGTACTTTCTGGCCCTGCGCGCTTAAGCCTCCAAAGGCAGTGCTGACCGGGATGAAATAGCCTTGCCTTCGTAAAAGAGTTTATGCTTGCTTGTCATTTAATACTTAAGCCAAAAGCAGGCAAAGCCTGGACAGCCCACGAACCTTGCTTTGCAAACCAATCGTGCCGGCGCTCCAGAAAGCAACGACTCGGCCGCGCAGCTGGATCGCCGATCGGAGGCGCCAGCTCTGAACGCGTCAGCTGTTGCTATTCCACTGTACTTTCGTCGGAAACCAGGCCACATTTCTGGTGCCTGCGGTACTTGCTTCCAAGGCTTGCAAGCTATAGTCTCGGTGCCCACGTGCCGGTCGAGTAAATTCTTATTTAGGAGCCATTTTCCTCCTCTCCGGACCTTTTGAACGTGCCCCCCCCTTTTATCTAGAATGACTGCATAACAGTCCTAAGGAGAAACGCGTTCTCCTGGGTAAAATTCTTGCAATTCTATACAATGAATATAACGTTGGGAGCGCCAAGAATGATGTTTTTAAATGCTCGGACAATCGAGTAATATTTCCAATGGTACGGAAGAGGAAAGACGGTAAAAAGACTTTCGCTTCGATCATTTTTTTTTTAAAGCAGAAAAGCGACTGAGCTAATTGCCGGACCTTCTGTGCTTGTAAAGCGAGTAAGGGAGTCCGTGTCCTTTTCAAGTTTTGCTATATGGTTTTTCCAGCAGAGGATGAGGGGAATCCTCAAACGCTCGAGAACAAGCAAGCCCTTCATAGCTTTTTCCTGAAAAGACATTTGCAGGATTGCTTTTTATTATTATTATTATTATTATTATTATTATTATTATTATTATTATTATTATTATTATTATTATTATTATTATTATTAATATTAATATTAATATTATTAATATTATTAATATTATTAATATTATTATTAATATTATTAATATTATTATTATTGAAAGCTAAAAGTTGCATATTCCACCTAGCCGAAGTTCAACACGTTTTAAAAGCTGAAGCTCTGCAGTCAGGAGTAAACAGTTCCGATACAGGCAGAGGAACATTAGATAACTGTAGTAGACGATCTGTGGTTACTCCTCTACATTTCATTGTGAGATTTTATACACAGCTTTTCGTGCGGGATGGGATATCGAGGGTCCCCCAATGAAGGTTTTTAACCAGAGTTAGCACAGCCTATCTGTAAGAGAATCTGTGCATACAAGTACAGTATTTGTGTGTATCCCGGGAAGGGTGGCTACATATTCCTGGGCGCCTGGGTGGCTATTGGAGGCTTATTACGCAATGAGCTCCTGCGGTTCAGAGTTTAATATCACCCTTTTACATTTCAGGCTGCTAGATACCATTTCTGCGAACGTGGGTGTAATGAGGCAGCGAGGGAGCACCATCCCCCCCTTCCTCTTCCCACGGGACGCGAGAAGCAGAACTCCGGCGAAAACGATGCTCGTCCTAGGCTGCTCTTCGAAGGACGCGCCAAGCTGTTCGCTGCGGACACGCAGGGAAACCCCCCTTGCTCTCTCAATGGCTCCTAGTGGCCCGCTTGAAGGGGAGGGCGTCGTAGGTCTCTCGGGACCACTGTTGGGGGGGGGAGGGGGTAGACTAGATGGCCTTTTGATCTCGCCTCCCGTCATTGACTTTGCGTGACTCCCCAGCTCAGGAGGGAGGGGAAAGCCAAGGGGACCCACGCGTGCACAGGGTGGGACCGACGCCAGAGACGGGAGCAACCTCGGAGAGGGGGAACGGGAACCTGAAGCAGAGGATGAGCATTCAAGAGCGTGGAAGGGAAGCGCCGGGATTCGCCGCGTAAAAAGGTAAGCGGGCGAGTTGAGACGTGAGGGATGAAGGACGAGAAAGCCCAAGTACAATCTGCGGAGGAAGCGTGCAGAAACTTTCCCCCGCGGGGAAAAAAAAAAGGGGGGGGGGAGATCTGATGAGGACGAAGGTATCTGAAGAAAGTGACACACACACACACACACACACCCAAAGAAATTCCGACTGGGGACAAGAACAGAGAGGTCGTCGGCGGGAAGAGGGGGGGTTCCGCGCCCGGCTGTGCGCTCGGGGAGGCTGGAGGTGCCGAACGCTGCCCGTGGGACCACGGCGGGACGGCGTTCACGCCCGTGGGTGTGGGCATTGCGCTCGAACCGCACCCGGAGGAATTGAACAGCTGCTTCCCGGCTTTGGCTGCCCCCGGATGGGGAGGGGAAAACCTCGCCCAGGCGAGGCTTTAGTGACTGCGAAGGAGCGAGCGAGAGAAGGGGCAGGTAGATGAAGAGGAGAAGAAAGGGATCGGCCGGCACACGGGTGAGAGGGGAGGGCGCCCCGCCGGCTGCTGCGACGGGGAGCGCGCTCGCGCGTGGACGGTCCCGCAAAAAGAAAGGGAAGAGGAGCGCGCGGGCGGTTCTGTTAAATGGGCCAGTCTGGGTTTGGGGAGGGAGATCTACCTCGCGGGGTCTCGGGAGAGGCTTTCCAGCTTAATCTGCGGAAAGGGAGTTGGCCACCAGGTGCCTGGAGGAAAGCTGCGATTGCTGGAGCCTCAAAGGAAGAAATCCGACAGGTAGGGTTCGCTGCCTGGGTTCGCTGGTGTATTCCCATCTCTTCTCTCTTGCTTTCTTCTGGCAGGTCGCTTGTATCTTTAATGAGGCAGAAAAGCAACCAGTAAAATTGTCCTTCCGTGTTGTACCACCGTTGGGGGGGGAGGGATGTTGGTATCTAATGAATTTCTGGCTGTTATCCAGAGTTCATTCAAGAAAAAAAAGGTTTGGAAACCTTGACTCCGGAAGAGATGGTGTGCATAGGATTAGGGTTATAGATTGGGGACAGCCTGCCTCCAAAAGCTGGACGTAGCAGGGTACAAAGAAGAACGTGTGTCTTCCTCATTTTCTGCTTGTGAACATCTCAGGGGCATCTGGTTGGCCATTGTGAGAAGCAAAGTGCAGGACTAAGATGAGTCTTGGTCTGACCCAGTTGGGCCCTCGGATTCTTCAGGTCTTGTCTTTTTCACCTTTTGAGAAGAGCTCTTGTCCTACTCCTTTTTTTCTTCCTTAGAAATCTATATCCAGGCTAATCTGTGAAGCAGGCAAGATTTGAGTTGAGTGAAAGAAGGGAGCTTCTGTTAGTAGCAAAAGCAATGATTCAATATTGCTTGTAGAAAGCAGTGTAGAAGCCATGGTTTGACTTAAACTGGAGGGAATCCAATCCAGGAGGGTGAGGCTGGTCTTTTGTCTTAAGGGCCTTCTTTATGATTTGTTTTCATATTTATGAAAAGTTGCCATTGACAGCAAATGTTCTGAAAAGAAGCCTCCATAAGATATTCATGTACAATTATATAACAGTCCCTCACTCTAATACTCCAAGAATAACCCATAAGAGGATGCCAGAATTGGGAAACGTTAATTTCTGGCTACATAGACTGGGATGAACTCCATAGACATCAATTCTTGGTCCAGTCAATCCATTCTCCATTACTCTGTACTACCTACCTTTATATGCAATAGTACCCTTAATTGAATTAGCTTTTTCTTGGTTTGCACAAAATAAAATAAACTAACCCAACATACCACATGAAAACATAGAGAAGGCTAAAACTAATCCGGCTTAATGCACTGTCCACATGTGGTCACCAGGCCTCTCAATTGTCCACATTGTGTGTGAGCTCAGCCACTGACTCCGAACAACTTGCTTTCCGCCTGGTTCTTAGCTTTCCCTTTTGCAGGTTTTTCACCCCCATCCCTCCCTGGCAGGGACATGAGGGAGAGGGCATCATCCAACCACACTAGAGAACCAACCCAACGCACCCAGGTGGAGTTCAGCATGGCCCCGTGGAACCCCCATGTGAATACTTGCCTTTTTGCTGCTTGCCTCTGCCTTTGGAGAGGGTAAGTAACATGACTGTTGGGAGTTCAGGTGCCTATCCTGGAACAGGTAGCCTCAAGAGGATGCGGGTTTTGAAGTCGCTGTGAAGAACTTTGGGATCAGGGCAGAAGTCTCAAAGAAGAGCAGTCTACTCTAAGCACATTTTCCCACCTCCCCCTCTCTACAGAGCCAATAATAGGGTGAGAACAGCCTCTGCAGCTATAGTCTCCATCCAATTATGCCCTTTTTATCCTTCCCCCTCCCGCTAAATATGAGCACAATTCCTAAGTGCCACAATTCCTAAGTGCCACAATTCCTAAGTGCCAATTCCTAAGTGGGTTTGGAGTTTAAATTGAGGGAAGCAGAAAGTAGGGCTCCCAGAATGTGATCTTAAAAATTATTCTTGGGATGAGCTGAAGCCTCTGAGCATGCTACAGAGAACCCTCTATACTCCAAGATGGTTAGAAAGAGAAGGGGGGGGAATCGTGGGAGAGGTGATTGGATGACAATTGATGCTGCTCTTACAGTTTTATTGTGGGAATAGTTAAGAAACGTGATTGGTGGAGTCCTCCAACCTTCCCACCAAGCATCACTTGCTGGTAGGACAACAAGTACCAATCACAGTCCCATCAGAGATTGGACCCAGATCGGGTGAGGGTAAAGGTGAGTGTTTGGGAGAGTACTTTTATCCACCTGTCAGATTGTCAGGTGGGTTTCATCCATGAGCCAAGGATGGTTGCTATTGGTGCTGAATGTAGGGCAAGAGCTGTATATCATGTTTCTCCATCTCAGGTATCAGCAAGCAGCCATCATTAAGGGTGATTTTCATGTTGGCTAAAATAGATGCTGTAACAGCCCTGTGTATAACAACTATGGCAGGGGTAGGCAACCTTGGCTCTTTTATGACTCGTGGACTTCAACTCCCAGAATTCCTGAGCCAGCATGGCTCAGCTTGGAAACCTCTCCCTTTCCCCCCAGCATGGCTGGCTCAGGAATTCTGGGAGTACAAGTCCACGAGTCATAAAAGAGCCAAGGTTGCCTACCGCTGAACTATGGGGATATTTCTGATGTACATGTCTGGCTTCTCCTGAAAAGCCAGAAATTAGAATGAAGCTAAAATGGGCAGCTCTCATTAGCAGTGCTCCAGTATTAAGTAAGATATTTTTGTGAAACTTTCCAGTCTGCTTTATGCATTAATAGAGCCTTCCTCACTCTAATCCCCCTTCCCTCCTCTCCCAGGTACTGGACTCAAAGTCTTATCATCTCTGACAAGTCCAGTGATAGGTAGTCTTTGAATTATGACCACAATTGGGATGAGAACTTCCATTGCTAAGTAAAGTGGTTGTTAAATGAGTCGCACTCAGTTTATGACCTTTTTTGCCATGGTTATTAAGTGAAACTGTCATTGTTGTATGAAACAGGCAGTCATTAAGCCGATCCAGCTTCCCCCATTGACCTTGGTTACTGGAAGTTGGTTGGGAAGGGTGCAGATGGTGATCAGGTGACCTTGGGATATCGCAACCATCCTTTGTTGCCAAGGGCCCAAATTTTTCATCGTGTGAATGCAGGAACATCTGTGACAGTAGTAAGTACGAAGAGCTGTCGTGAGTCACGCTTTCAGTCCCATCCTAACTTTCAACTGTCGCTAAATGTACGGTTGTAAGTTGAAGACTACCCGCATTGTGCTGGTTCAACACCTTAGCTACAACATTTCAGAGGGCCAAGCTGAGGATTGGAGAAGGTTCCTGCTTCCGGCCTTGGAATGCTAACCCAGTGACCCTACTAGACTGGAAGGATCACTGGCCCAATGTCCTGTTCCATAACTCAGGGTGCAAGCCCCATCCTTTCCCTCCTGCAGACCAAGGACCTCCGCCTCTGAGAGTGGAACAGAAACCAGGAGGTTCCCTGTTTTAAACCCTTGCTGAAATTTGGAAATGGTGTGGCATGGGGATTTCTCCTTCTGTTTCCTTTCTTTCCAATCTTGAAAACAAGGCATCGCTTGAGATATTCTTTCCCAGCCTGTTAACCAGACAGACAGCAGATGAGAGGTGTGTAGCCCTAAGCCTTGCACATTTGGATGATGTCAATTTGGAAGATCGAAGCTTTAAAGTTAGCAGGGAGAAAGAGGCGTAAGGCAACCACGTCTGCATGAAGTCACCTGCTTGCCGCTGTTGACTGACTAGGCAAGTGGCAAAGTGCAGTGGCGCATGAGAGGTCCTCTACTGGAGTGTTGTTGTTTTTTTGCGAGAGGGCTTTCAAGAAAGAGGAATTTGCCTGATTCTTTTCAGGCTGTACAACAATTCAAGGGTCACCCTTTGCCTTTTTGGGGCACGTCAAGGGTTGCACTCCAAAAAGTGGGTAGATCTGGGACAAGATTAAATCTGCTTTAATTTAAACATAGTGATAGACATAGTGATAGCCATCTCCAAAGCACCTGAAGGCAGGACAAGAAGCAATGGATGGAAACTAACCAAAGAGAGAAGCAACCTAGAACTAAGGAGAAACTTCCTGACAGTTAGAACAATTAACCAGTGGAACAACCTGCCTCCAGAAGTGGTGAATGCTCCAACACTGAAAGTTTTTAAGAAGAGACTGGACAGCCATTTGTCTGACATGGTATAGGGTTTCCTGCCTGAGCAGGGGGTTGGACTAGATGACCTCCAAGATTTCTACATTTCATTTACTTTCTTCTTCTTCTTTGGGACCCAAGCTATGCCCTCTGCTGATGGCCTTTCCCCATCTCAGATGCTTTGAGGACACTCCCAACTTCAGAGAAGAAAAAGGTCCTTGCGGTCCTTTGGAGATACAGGCTCATTGCAGCTTCTGTAGGCTTTAATTAATGTATAGAAGGACTGAAAGCTCCAAAGCCCCACCCCCCCTTTTTTTGGGGGGGGGGAAATCCAGTCCAGTGCATCACACAGCCCTAATGGACAATACTAGGAGTGGAAGTTTTCCATTCTGCAGCAGCAGGAGTAGAAGCTATCGCACCACTCCCATAATCTATCACGTGATCACAAAAGCCCTGGGGAACTTAGCTAGGGTTTATGAGTAGCCACTAGATTATGATGAGCCAGTTGTAGCATAGTCCTCAGCTTGTTCACACAGATGCATATTCCACTGGATTCAAACAGGTTTTATCCCCAAACTGTCTTCAAGGAAGCAGTCTTCAAGTACAGGTCTGCTTCCTTAAGGGATAAACCTCACTGCTTAATGCAGTTTACTTTCCAGGAATGCAACCTGCCTTTTCGAATGCTGCAGTTGTGCTTCTCTTGCACTACTGCTATGAATGAGAAACCCAGACGTGGCATGTTCCGTATCCATATTCCTGTCCCGAGTGAAAAGTTGGTTTGGGGAGGGGTGGTTTGGTCAAGGGAGAAGGACTGAGGCAGTGCTTGATCTTCGGGAGAATTCATCTGTAGGCGTTTAGGAGGAAAGCATTTTTAGTTTATGTGAGATACTATGTGTGATGGCAATAACAGGGCATGCAGGAATTGTTAAAGCTATACATCCATTGCTATGAGGATGTCCTGTCTCCATTGGGTGGTTGCTATGGTGGCCTCTTCTCATCAGGAAACCTGGCTCCATTCCCTTTTCCCACATTCATTTGTCTGTGTCTCCCACTGCCTGGGCTACTCCTACTCTATTCCCTCTGCTGCAGAGACACCCTGCTTTAGATCTGGGAGGGGCGCTGCCTTTTTGTCATGGGAACATCCTCCCACTCCCCCTCCCCTATTTTTGGATGCTGAGCCTTGGGGGGATACTTTTGATCTCCAACCTTGCTTTTATCTAGTGCCAGAGGGGGCCCAGGCAGGGAATTTCCCCCTGCAAACTCAACCACCCAGGTGCAGCCCTCTCCCATCGATGGTGGAGCCTGGCTGTATGGCCAGAAGGCTTTTGTACAACTCTGCACATATGCTTGACAAAATGCACTTAGCCCAGCTCTGTGTGGAGAGAGAAGCCTGTGTGGAGTTAAAAATTAAAAATTAAAATTCAGGGGATCTGATTTTTCATTGCCTGTCTCTCCCACACACCCTGTCCTTTTGCCTTCTGCCCCTATTTAAACCATCTAGAACAGAGGTGTCAAACTTGCAACATCACGTGACGTGTCACGTGACTTTTGTTCCATGGCCAGCAATGGGGTGGGCGCGTTTTCGGCATGACGCATCCGGCCTCTGGGCCGGCAGTTTGACACCCCTGATCTAGAAGCTTTTGTAATGGAACCAGGGTTGGTGGCCAGCACATCTAGATCCTCTTCTCTGTCATGGGCAGAGAGAAGAGGAAATATATATGTATGCATGTATGTAGGTAGGTAGGTAGGACGACCGACTGTGGGAGGGCAGAGGGCAGGTGGACTGCTCACGCGCTCCATGGCTAGATCGTTAAACATCCATCTAGCTATATAAGCGGGTTTCTCTAACCACCAATTACCACTCTGACGATGTCAACAGAGGATTGACGAAAGCTAAGTTGTAGTTATTGAAAAGATTTTTTCTATCCCGGAGTTCAGTGGCTCTATTGTATTTTAATGTATGTATGTATGTATGTATGTACAGGTAGTCCTCGACCTATGACCATAATTGAGCCCAAAATGTCTGTTGCTAAGTGAAATATCCATTGAGGTTTGCTCCATTTTATGACCTTTCTTGCCATAGTTGTTAAGTGAACTACCGCAGTTATTAAGCGAGTAACACAGTTGTTAAGTGAATCTGGTTTCCCCATTGACTTTGCCTGTCAGAAGGTCGCAAAAGGGGATCACATGAGACTGCCACCGTCATAAATATGAACCAGTTGTCAAGCATCTGAATTTTGATCACATGCGGATGCTGCAATGATTGTAAGTGTGAAAAACGGTCATAGGTCCCTTTTTTCAGCACCGGTCACTAAATGAACTGTTGTAAGTTGAGGGCTACCTGTATTTAAATTTATTGGCCGACCGACTTCAGTGGACTTTAGAATTTCAGAACAGTTCAACTTCATTCTTCAGTTCTCACCTGAAAGTGGAGAATATACCTCCTCTCTAAATTTGGTGAAAATACATGGAAAAGAAAGAATTTTGGTTCCTGGGGAAAGAGGCAAAAACGGTGGTGCTCCAGCATTTTGTGTGGCAAGTTACAAACCTCATTGGCAAGCCTTCCCTTGATTCACAAGCCTCTCCCTGTTGCTTGGTATTTAAACCAGAGAGCCTCTTCCATTTCCTGCTGGGTTAGATTATTTATATGGTAATACATTTATATATCCTCTAATAAAAAGCATAGCACAATAAGCAGCTACTACCAGCTATTACAGCTGATCACAACTATTCTGTTGTGTTCCCTGGTCTGGTGGTTAGTAAGAATTTGTGACTGGCCCTTAATTGGAGATCCTGGACACAGCCAAATGGCCATATTAAAGTAACATTCATCAGTTACTGCTCTGGTAGAAAAGTATTTCATGGAATGTACCTGTCCAGATTGATGAATCCTATTTTATCTCAGTAACAAGGATGGCAATTGATGCTACCATTACAGCTTTAATGTGGGAATAATTAAGAAATGTGATTGGTAAGGCAGCTAATCCTCCATCCTTGAATTTAAGCCCGTGGTGGCACAGTGATTAGAATACAGTATTGCAGGCTGCCCACTGCTGACTGCCACCAGTTCGATCCTCACCGACTCAAGATTGATTCACCCTTCCATCCTTCCGAAGTCAGTAATATGAGGACCCCAGATTGCTAGGGGCAATATGCTGACTCTGTAAACCGTTTAGAGGGGGCTGTAAAGCACTATGAAGCGGTATATAAGTCTAAATGCTATTGCACCAAGCATCACTTCCCACCAAGCATCACTTCTCTGAGCATGCTACAGATAGCCCTCTATATTCAAGATAGTTAGAGATAGGGGAAAATCGTGGGAAAAGCGATTGGATGACAGTGGATGCTTCTCTTACAGTTTTATTGTGGGAATAGTTAAGAAATGTGATTGGTAGAGTCCTCCAACCTTCCCACCAAGCATCACTTGCTGGTAGGATAGCAAATACCAATCCTATTCCCATCAGGGATCGGATACAGTCGGGTGAGTGTAGGTGAGTGTTTGGGAGAGTACTTTTATCCACATGTGACATCCGTCAAGTGGATGTCAGATGCACAGTCTGTGACCCGTTGGCTAATTTTGAACACAGGTCTAGCATTTTTCTGAAAGAAAGCTAAACATATGTCCATGGATGAGGCAGAAGGGCATAGTATAGGGGTAGGCAACCTTGGCTCTTTTATGACTCGTGGACTTCAACTCCCAGAATTCCTGAGGCAGCCATGCTAAGGGGAAAGGGAGAGGTTTCCAAGCTGAGCCATGCTGGCTCAGGAATTCTGGGAGTTGAAGTCCACAAGTCATAAAAGAGCCAAGGTTGCCTACCCCTGGCATAGTATAAAGCAGAATGGTCACTGATAATGAGCTACCTGCATCTTCATCTAGCGCTGCAATGGAATTCCAGTGATGGCAGCTAATCCAGTTTTGTTCCTGTGGCTGGCCGCACCTGGAAGTAGATGAAGATCAGCCGTGGTATTAGAGCAGAGCAGGCAAAATTGTGCCATTCCAAGCCTCAGGTAATTAAAATAGTAATAAGGACAGCCATATGAAATCCTTTGTTGGCAGAAGAATGAAAAAAGATAGTAATGTGGTAAACGCTGTAACACGCAGCTAGCAGAACCCTGCTTTTTTTCTTTTTTCTTTTCTTTTTACACTGTAGATCACTTGAGACCATTAGTCCTACTTTTTAAACAACGATCTGGAGCTGCTCTGAAAGAAAGCTAAACTCCTGTTTTAAAAAAACCAGGTCTTTCAAAAATGTGCTAGAGCTTTACTTGCTAGGAGTAGAGTGCTGGTTAGATTTTTGAAAAGTGCTGGTCAAGCCGTATGTGAGTAACGAAGTAGCTAGATCGGGTAGGCAACCTTGGCTCTTTTATGACTCGTGGACTTCAACTCCCAGAATTCCTGAGTCAGCACGGCTGGCTCAGGAATTCTGGGAGTTGAAGTCCACGAGTCATAAAAGAGCCAAGGTTGCCTACCCCTGACCTAGATCAATGTTTGATCACCTGGAATTCTGAGAAGTCCACCCATTTTAAAGCGGTCAAATTGTAGCATCAACAATTTGTAGAAAAACACAGATGGTAGATGCCAAGTATCTGATCTTTTCCACAAACTAACCCAAATGGACTAAGGGCAGGCTTTCGGCTTTTCCCACAAACTAACCCTTACTGTACTAAGGGCAGGCTTTCGGCAAGTGGCTGATAGGACCTTGGCAGATCCCAACTTGTCCGCATCCACAATCATGCTAGTGATGAATCATGTTAGATTGTATCAGTGGTCAAAATGGTTTCAGGAGAAGAACCTTTTCACTACTTTGAAACCAGATCAGCTAAAGATGACTCTGAATCACCTTAGCTCGGTGATGAGAATGAGGCAAAGGCAACCCTGGTCTATGGTATGAGGGAATGGCCTTGGGAGACAGGGGGATGAGATGCTGCCTACGAAACAGTTGGATAAAGGGAGGGGGAGGGAGCCACTGTTGCATAACAGGCAGAGAAAAAAACTCAGAAAGGAACTCCCTCTAATGTACCAGGCTGTCAACAGAGGCAGCCAGAGATTTATACTTACAGATTTGTAAGATTCTGTTAATGTTGCCTTGTAATAAAGTAGAATTGCCTCATCTGGTTGTGTTTTCTATCTGATCTACCTGGAAGCCTGACACCTTGGGAGGACACAGGATAAAAAAAGTGGTTACCAGGCATGTTGATGCTACAGTTAGGGTGTCAGCCTTCCCAGACAAACCAGATAAGAAATACAACTGGATAAACTAATTCTACTTAATTGTAATGTTACATTAACAGAATCTTGCAAGTCTGAAAGTACAAACTTCCCACCCTCACTTTTAATGGCTTGATCCATTAGGGCAGGCCTTTCCTAAGTTTCTTTCTCTGACCATTAAGCCACTGGGGGCTCCTGCCTCTCTTGTCTGATTTTTTTCCAATGAGCGTCTTTTTCTCTCATTTGCCAGAGTGATCCACACACTCCATTAGGGAATGCACAATTGAACCTATTCTCTCCCTCTTCCCCCCTCTCCCTCCCTCCCTCCCTCCCTCCTTCTCTCTCTCTCTCCCTCCCTCCCTCTCTCTCTCCCTCCCTCCCTCCCTCTCTCTCTCTCTCCCTCCCTCCCTCTCTCTCTCCCTCCCTCCCCCTCTCTCTCTCTCTCTCATTCCTAAGCCTAAGTCATTCTTGCTCTGAGATCAAGCAATAAAATGCCTCCTGACCATTTTCTGTTTTCTTCTCAAGTCAAGATTTCATTTTCCTTTTTTCTCTCTTAGAATGCTGGGCCACAGTCCCTTGGGGCCCAAAGTGCTGGCGGAATCTGTCCTGAATTCTAATGCCATGTGCATGACCCTGCCCTGGCTGACCCGGCGCCAATTTGGACTCTGTGTACGCAGCCCAGAAGCGATGGCTTCAGCTTTACAGGGCATTCACCTCGCCCTCCATGAGTGCCAACACCAGCTGCAAGAGAGGCGCTGGAATTGTTCCGACCTGAGCAGTGGGAGCACTGTGCTTCTTAACAGTGCCATTCTGAAGAGAGGTGAGAAGAGGGTTAAGTGGGAGAAAATGCTGGGCTTGGGACAACCCTTTCGTTGGGGTTGGTGGGCAATAAAATTGGGAGTTGGTTCATCTCTCACTGCCCACGGTTCCCCTTCTATCCTCTCCTTTCCCCCTTTACTGATCTAGTGTCCACAGAAATGAAGTAACGTGGGATTACCGAAGAACAAGGAGGAATGTCAGCATACCTGGGCAATTTGGCACGAATAGATCTATATTAAAAATGTAAATGCAAGCATCCCGAAGGAAGATGCTGTGGATCTTTGTGTATAGAAAAGGAACATGCAGCATTTTGTTTTCTGGTCTAGCTGGTCTTCATTTAGTTACCAAGCCTCATGGATAAAGCCCTTAAAGTCTTCAAATATAAGTTGCTTCCAACATTTGATTTGTTTCATGAAGGTTTGTTGTAGGTCATTAGAAATTTAAAAGGGGAGAGACCAGGGCTGGTGCGTGAAATTGACGTGGCTTATGAGCATCTGCATCTAGAAAGTATTGTGAGAATAAGAATCAGAAATCTGTCCTCTTCGTTTAAAAAATTAGCTTTTGATTACCCCTCCTGGGTTATTTTTAAAATGCTACAGTAGGTATTAAAAGAGCTGTGGTAGTGCAGTGGTTAGAATGCAGTACTGCAGGCTAAGTCACTGCTCACTCCAGGAGTTCGATTCTGACCGGCTGAAGTAAGACTCAGCCTTCCGTCCTTCTGAGGTTGGTAAAATAAGGACCCAGATTGTTGGAGGCAATATGTTGACTCTGTAAACTGCTTAGAGAGGGCTGTAAAGCATTGTGACTAAAAGGGGACAATCAGGTGCCTTAGTGGGTTTAGACTAGAGCATCAATTTTGCTTCTGATTTTGTCCTCCTCCCTCCTCCCCAAAAAGTCTGGGACAGTTATGCTCTTGAAAACTGTTGATTTGTCAACACAGTTTAGATATTCTCTGGAAGCTGAAAACTGGATACAGTCAGCTGAGCCTTGCGTTGCCACGCCTGATTTAACTATTAATCCAGTTTGGATGTTGAAACCAAAAATAGAGTATTCCAGTTGTCCAGTGTCTGGGAAACACTGAGATAAAGGGCTCGCTTCTGGAGAACAGTAGGCAACTTTAATTGTACATCCTTCTTCCATAAACCGACTGACGTCTGTGGACTACAAGCCAAGGTTTCTTGAGGCCTGGGTAAGAATAATTAGAATTTAGGTCCATCACAGCTGAAAAGCACCAGTTGGGGATGTTGATCTAAGCCAGAAGTCCCCAACCTTTACTGCTAGGTAGCCCGGTGGGGGAGGAGGGAGAAAGGGGACCAGCCGGCCACTTGTGCAAGTCGAGCACATGCACACTGGCCCGCTGCTTGTGCAACCTGAGCTGCGCGTGCACATTCCCAGGCCAGCCACTCGCGTGGCCCGGTTCTGAATAAGCCACAGCCTGGTAGTGGGCCACAGCCCAGGAGTTGGGGACTCCTGGTCTAAGCTATCTGAAATGAATTCTTCCTTCATTGTACAATGTAGCCAACTATCTTCAGTTTGAAAGTAAAATTGGTTGCACCAGGAAGAGGAACAAGTAAAGGTGGTAGGGGTAGAATGTAACTCCTGTAGGGCTGCTGTTAGCAAATAGTATCTTTGAGCTGCTCAGAATTGCTTTGAGCTGGGAGATGGTGGCAAATAAATTTGATAATAATAATCTTTGCCCCATCACCTCAAACTGGCTTATTGATAACTCCCACCAAATAGGAGGAGCAGCAGCAGCCACCAGCTGTTCCTTTTCTTTACATCAGTAAGAATCCTGCTGCTAAGCCTGGGCTTCTTTGGTTGGCTCACTCTCATCAGCTCCTTCCTCTGTTCCTGTATCTGTGCTGCGGAGAGAGGATCCTTAGCTGTGAACTCCAACTCCTAGCATCCCTCACCATTGGCTGGGAAGAATGCTGGGAGTTGAAGTTTAGCAACCTTAGGAGGACCATCATTCTTTTAAGGAATGGACAAACCTGACAATAACTGCTTGGGCACAGTCTTCAGAAAAGGGATAATTTGTAGAAGATTCTTGACCACAAGTGGAGTTGAGAAAAGGCACTCTTGATGATGGATTCCTGACTTGAAAGGGTATGAGCAAGAGGAACCCTGCCAAAAGCAGCTGCAGCAGCAGCAGCAGCAACTCATTGCTTTTGCATCTTTTCCCCCCCTAGCTAGACCAACAACTGAGAGCAGTGAATAGCAGTGATTCTGATGCCTCTCCACATCCGTGTTCTGTGGGTGGCATGGCAGCAAGCATCGTCTCCCAGGTGGAGGGAGCAGCTGAGAGCATTTTGCTAAGCCTGCCTGGTCACGGCTGCCCTTCTTTACGCCCCTGACTTTCTTCCCAGGTGCTGCCTCACCCAGGCCTCTTGCCTTGGCTGTGTTAAGAGTGGCCAACACCTGACTCCAGAGGCAAATTGGCAAGCAGCTCTTTTCTTTTGTCCTTTGCATCTCTTTTATTAATTGAGCTTTGAAGGAGCCGGTTCTAAATTTAAACCCAAGTTCAAAGCAAGGCCTCTGGGCAGGCAAGAGCTGGAGCAAGCTCCAAACCAAGCACCTGGGCTGAGTTGCTGCTTGATGTGTCAGCTGCTGCTTGATGTGTCATGAGTTTGGTGGGGCTCATCTGCGTTCACAGGAATAGGAGAAGCATCAGGAGACTAAGGAAGAATGGATTAAGGAGGAAATGCCTAATAGGTACCAGGGACTAGAGGCATCGTGATGATAAATACCATGGCTAATTTACATTATAAAGCAAGTCTGTATCAATTTATAAACAACAATCAAGAAGAAAAATACCAGCTCTAGGCATGTGTGATGCTTAGCAGTCCTAATGAGTTCAATGCAACATGAGTAGGAATACTCATGTTTTTCAACTTGATGTTCTCCAGACGTGTTGAATTGCAGTGTATTAACTCCCAACCTGCCCAACAGTTGGGTCTGTGTGATTTTACAAAATGTTGAGGTCCAACATATCTGGAGGCATCAGCTTACAGAAGGCTGTAGACAAGGGCATATTTAAGCTATGGAGTAATTTAGGAGTAATTGTTTTTCCGAAGGGAATCCTGGAATTAGTGCATTAGTGAGGCAGGAAGATCCAGAAGTTCTTGGGGGAAGCAAGCTGTAACAACTCATTCATACTGTGAAGATAAATTATTTTAGAGTACATTTTCAAAGACCACCCACAGCTTTATTTCAGATTGAATTATTAGCTGTTTTATATGCACAAACATTTAATTTGATGAAAGGATGAGAATCCAGCTTTCTTGAATCCCAAATCAGGATGATCTCAGGTCTGGATTTAGGTATGAGAATGATGTAAAGTGGGCAGAGTACTGTAGTTTTAAGTTAAAAAAAGAGAACTGAAGGAATTGTGGCTGGATTAAGGGAGACATTGACCAAGAGTCAACATCACCTTGAACACATGTACTTCTTATGTAAAGTCTTCTTGGCTTGAGCCTCTCAGTGTTTCTCAACCTTGACAATTTTAAGGCATGTGGAGTTCAACTCCCAGAATTCCACAGCCAGCATTGCTGGCTGTGGAATTCTGGGAGTTGAAGTCCACATGCCTTAAAATTGTCAAGGTTGAGAAACACTGCATCTAGCAAATTTTATACTCTTCACTGTGTTTGCTTCCTAGGCTTCCGGGAAAGCGCATTTGTCTTCTCCTTGCTAGCAGCTGGCGTGACCCATGCAGTGGCAACTGCCTGCAGTCTTGGGGAACTACAAAGTTGTGGCTGTGCCAGACAAGGCACAGAGAACCAGAAACTGAAACTCACCCAGCTGCAGTCTCTAAGCCGGGGCAAGAGCCTGCCCCCTATGCCATCCTCGTTGTGGGGGCAACCTAGCCCGCAGGACACCTGGGAATGGGGTGGCTGCAGTGCAGATTTTGCCTATGCCCAGAGATTTGCCCGGCATTTTTTAGACCCACGAAGAAAACCTCGTGACGCTCATGCCCGGATGCAGCTACACAGTCACCGCGTGGGCAGAAAGGTAAGGTATGAAACCCTTGGGCAGGGTTTTGGAGGATGGAAGGGTGAAAGTCTATCAGTGGCATAATGAAAGAGTAATCATGGAGATAATCTTATTGCTACGATTCTGCCACAGTTGCATTACTTGGTGTTAGTGACCGTTAATCTATATCTGTTATCTGGTACAGTATTTAATATTCTCAGGATTCATGTTTTTTTTTTAATGTTTATTGCTAATGTGTAGCTATCATGGCCGTGGAGATGAGTTTGAGAACATAAAGCTGATAATACTAAATGTGGCTCGACTAAATTCAGATTCTTTTCCCAAACCATGTGTTGAGACACTGTGGTGCGCAAGAGAAATACATTCGAACAACTCCCTGCTCTCAGAGGGAAGGTGCCTGCTGGGTTTCTGCATGATTTATCATTCTCATTATGTCTGCTTCCATTCAATAATTCTACTGTATGTCTACATTAGATTTAGCAGAATTGTTTGTGTTATTTATTCCCAGTATAGGGAGGCATTAAGATTTTCTTCTTTTGCATGAACCTCTGGTGGAGCTTGCTTCTATTAATCAGATAGTATGCTTGGAATAGCTGATCCAACAGAAATGCAATTGCTTGGCTCCTCTAAATGAAAGTTTCTCATATGAGAGAGTGAGCTGTGCTTACATTGATGCAGATGACAATTCTCTTGGTAATAAGAAATTTGGGAGCAAGTTTATAGACCTGCTTAAAAAGTTGTCTGAATACATCATCATCCAAAATTGAAGCATTCTGCAAAATTCAAGCAAGAAAACTGGAAAATTAGTTATTTTCTAAAAACACGAATGTNTCTACATGGGGCTCCCCTTGAGGTGCACCTGGAGGCTCCAGCTAGTTCAGAATGCGGCCGCGCGGGGGATCCTGGGGGCCTCTAGATGCTCCCATGTAACACCTCTCCTGCGCGAGCTGCACTGGCTGCCGGTGGCCTTCCGGGTGCGCTTCAAGGTGTTAGTAACAACTTTTAAAGCGCTCCATGGCAATGGACCTAGTTATTTGCAAGACTGCCTCCTACCAAATATCTCCCTTCGACCAGTCCGCTCCCACAGAGAGGGCCTCCTTAGGGTGCCGTCGGCCAGTCAATGCCGGCTGGCGACCCCCAGGGGGAGAGCCTTCTCTGTGGCAGCTCCTGCCCTCTGGAATGACCTGCCCCCCGACCTACGTACAATTGCGGACCTGCGCCTCTTCCGCCAAGCCCTGAAAACTCATCTGTTCCATGCAGCCAGCCTGGCGTAGTTTTGATTGGGTTTTGTTAGGGGTTTTATATTTTAGAGCAGGCTTTTATGTAATATTTACTGTGATTTTTATTATTGCCTGTTCACCGCCCTGAGTCCCGTAAGGGAGATAGGGCGGTATATAAATTTAAATAATAATAATAATAATAATAATAATAATAATAATAATAATAATAATGATGATGATGATGATGATGATGATGATGATGATGATGATGATGATGATGATGATGATGATGATGATGATGATGATGATGATGATGATGATGATGATGATGATGATGTATCGGACAGGCCTCTGAGAGGGGGAGCGATGCCGCTCTCCAGCCATTGTTTCCCTGTAAGTAGTCCTTGGAATTACACTGTAGAGGAAATGTTAGATCTCCAAAATCAATTGCTTTGGATAGACCTGTTCTCTATTAAGTTATCCAGTACCTTTACAAGTCACCCAGTAAGTGGCCATCACTATGTCCTGTGGCAAAGAATTACTCAGGTTCATTATTCACTATGTGAAGTCATGCTTTCTGAGATCTACTTTAAATCTTCTCATCCACCTTATAGGATAGCATTTGTAGCATTTTGAGACAAGGTGAAGAACTTTTCATTATGCCATGGGTGTTTTTATTCATCTATTATATCCCTCTCTTTTTCCCCCCAAGCTAAAGAGTTTGGAAGAGTTTTGTCCTCATGAGGGATGTTTGAATTTATGTCCTCCTCTTAACATATTTTTTTCCAGCTTTGTTAGATATTTTTCCCCAAATGTGGCCACAAAAGTCTATCCACCTCTCACGCCAGATGTGTATGTACTGTACATTTATATAGGGTTATGATAGGGTTAGCTTTTTTATTCTGTATCTTTTCTAATCCTCTCCAGCGTGAAATCTGTCTTTTCTATACTGAATAGTCAACACTTTAACTGAACTACCCGGTACAATCCCAAGATAATTTTCCTGGTTGGTTAAAGACGGCTCAAAGCCCACTAGCATAAATGTGAAATTAGAGGGTTTTGTTCCAACATGTATCACTTAACACTCACTTAAATTGAATTCCATTTGCTGTTTGGCTGACCATTCACCCAGCTTGAAGAGATCCTTCTGGTGCTCATCACAATTCCGCCTAGTTTTTAACCTCTTAGAATATGGCAGTGTCATCCATAAACTCAGCCAGCTCATTGCTTAGTTCTCAAGATTGTTCATGAATATCCTTGTGGGATACTCCACTTCTTTCCTCTTTGAGAAAATTATCCATTTAATCCTATTTGGGGGATTTTTTAAAAAAAACAGTTAGTTTTTAAAGGACACATCCTCTTATCCATTGATGCTAAGTTTACTCAAAAAGCTTTGGAAAGGAAATTTCTCAAAGTTTTTTTTTTTTTTAAATCCAGGTATATTGTGTTGACAGAGTCAGCTGTATCCACATGCCTCTGGTGGGTACTCTCAAAAACCTCTAAAAGGTTAGAGAGGCCAGTGGCATACATGTCTACATGAAAGCTATATATTGCAAGTACATGTAGTCTTCGGCTTACAGCAGTTCGTATAGTGACTGTTCAAAGTTACTACAGCACTGAAAACAGTGACTTACGATCGTTTTTCACATTTATAACTGTTGTAGCATCCCCCTGGTCACATGACCAAAATTCGGATGCTTGGCAACTGGCTCATATTTGTGATGGTTGCCATGTCATGTGATCACCTTTTGCAACCTTCTGACAGGCAAAGTCAATTAGGAAGCCAGATTCACTTAGCAGCCTGATTACTAACATAACTGCAATTATTCACTTAACAGCTGTGGCAAGGAAAATCATAAAATGGGGCAAAATGCACTTAACAAATGTCTCACTTAGCAACCTAAATTTTGGGCTCAATTATGGTTGTGAATTGAGGACTCTCTGTAATCTCTAACAGCTATAGCACCGTCACTGCTTATATTCTGAAAACTGTATTTCTTGAGATATGATCAGACATTAAGAATCATAGCATAGTAAACAAATTGTTAGGAATATTTACTCTGGAATGCCACGTATGTCCATTTTTGTTTTAATTGTATTATAAATAAAAAACTTTAAAAAAAAAGAATCATAGCATAGTATGTGTGTTGCACATGAATAGATTATGGTATATACTCAAAGATAAACCAAGAATTCTTTCTTTTCCCCTTCTTTCCTGCACTCTTCCCTTCCCCCTTCCCGCCCCTATTTTTCCTACTATTTGTTGTTTGTATTTTTTTCTATTTTATACTATAAACCAATAAAAAAGAGTAAAATAAAAACAAAAAACCCAAGAATTTTAAGTGCCAAAATGCACTCAGAATTTGGATTCTGTTTATCCGCAGATGGGCTTATCCATGAATACACTGTTTGCTGTAATACTTTTTAAAAAATACTCATATACCAACATATACTCACGGATAAGCCCATCCATGGATAAGCTCTCAATTTTTTAAACTAAAATATCATGAAAAATAGATATTGTAATCTATGGATTAGCCAAGGATAATCCAATTGCGGAAATTAAAACATACCAACATTTTGAGCATTAGCTTATCTATGAATGGCTCATTTTTGGTTAAAATTTTGAGAGCTAGTTTATTCGTGGATGTGAGTATATGTGAGTATATATAGCATTTTGGTATTAGAAGCTCAGCTAGAAACGTGGGGGAATTCTGGGAGATTCCAGACTAAAAAAAGACTGGATTGCTCCATAGACTAAAGACAGTTGAGTTAGCACTTCCAACTTATTTGGCTGATGCTTTCTTAGCTTTCTTATGTAAGTACATGGCTTAATGATGGATTGGCTTGATAAAAGAAGTTTATCAAATATATGCTGGCCTTGGATTCTCTGAAAAACTTAGATATAGTTCAGTCAGCGCCCCTCATCCCTTTCCATAGGTACTGCACATTTCAACTCAGGGGATTTCAACCTTTTTCTACAGCTAACCTTCCCTTCTGATCTCTCTTGGCAGGTGGTGTCAGAGCTGAGCAAGCGCAGATGTAAATGTCACGGCCCCTCTGGGAGCTGCCAGTTTCGGACATGTTGGTTAGCAGCCCCAGATTTCCACCACGTGGGTTCCACCTTACGGGACCGAATGGACTATGCCACACTCTCGCGGCTGGACAACAGAAACTCGGGAGCCTTCTGGCCACGACTCCACAGCTCCCATCTGGCCAAGCACCTCATCTTCTACGAATCCTCCCCTGATTTCTGTGAGCCAGATCTGAGCCTAGGTTCCTCAGGCACCCACGGTCGCCCTTGTGTCAAGAGCAGCCCACGGCCAGATGGCTGTAGCAGCCTGTGCTGTGGCCGTGGCCACAACATGCTGCAGGAGGTGCGAGCTCAGCGTTGCCAATGCCGTTTCCATTGGTGCTGCCATGTGCAGTGTGAGGAGTGTCCTTCCACAGAATGGGTTAGTGTCTGCAAATGAATAGGGAAGGCCTAACCCTTTACTCCGTGCTCCAGCCAGCCATGTGACAAGTCCCAGCTGCAATATCAGCCATAATGATTAGAAGACGAGCTTTGGGCTGCTGACCTACTTACTGTGGGTCCCTTGCTCCATCCTGGAAACATACTTGGTCCTTCCAAGAGAAGACTTGCTTTCAATAGAGGGTGAGCAACAAGGAAGAATTCCTCAAAGAGATACCCTTTTGTCTTCTCTTGACCGCCAGCTTGGTCCTATCTCAGTTTATTGCAAACTGCCCTGTTTGATTTAATGGGTGGAGAATAGACTTGATCCTGTCCTGCCGCTTCAGGAAGAAACAAACGGAACCAAAGTGGCAAAAATTCTATATTGGGGCTAGATTCTTCACAGGCTAGAGTCAAGGGAGGGAGACGTGTTAAAACCAGCATGGTCCCAGAATCTCAGAACTTCTCCTATATGAGGACTTGGAACATTAAAGCTTTAGTTGGAGGGTGTTTGCTGTTTGCAGCTAGTAGGAGAAATAGACTGTCATTTGGGGACAAAAATTAGCAGTAGATTTGCAAGAGTTGCAGTTGTTGCTAATAGCACAGCCCACTGGCAAAATTGAAACTGGAGTGCTGTATTGATTGCAAGGTTAATTTATTATTTTGCTCTTTTACTGATCTATATTTTGTAAACCTGTTTGGTATAGTTAATGGAAGGAAAGATGGTCTCTAGTTTTATCTGGGAAATCAAATTCATTCATTGACCTTTATCTATTCCTTTTGTCAATCTGCATATGTTATATGCTTCCCCTCAGTAAACATGAGTTCTCCAACTCAAGCCCATATCTTCTTGTATTTGATTAAAGATTTCAGAGTCCATTGGCCAGAACAGATTTTTTTTTGCTACCTTTCTCACTTACATTAGTTTCTTGGTTAAAATAAAATGATTTTAATGATTTTCACACCAAACACTACTGGCTGAAGGAAGAAAACTTTGGTTTCGTGGATCACGGACTGCATTTCCTTCGCAAAGGACTCTTGGCAAGGGATGGGCTACACCTGAAGAAAACAGGGGAAAATGTACTCAGAAAAAGACTGGCCCAACTCATCAGGAGGGCTTTAAATTAAAATTGAGGGGGAAGGGTGACCAATCTTCAGAATCTCTAGAACCCAAAACCAATCATAAATCCCAAGAAAACAAATCAAACAATGAGGTGGGCAGAGATGAAAAAAAAGAAAAACTCAAACAACATTCAGGAGGTGCAGGAAACATACCCACGCACAGGCACAAAAGCCTTAAATGCTTATATACAAATGCCCAAAGCTTCGGGAACAAACAGGGCGAACTAGAAGCAATAGTACACAAGGGAGGGTATGACATAGTTGGTATTACAGAAAACTGGTGGGACGAAAGCCATGAATGGAATGGACTGATGGATGGATACAAATTGTTCAAAAGAAACAGGTCTACAAAAAGAGGAGGGGGAGTTGCACTATATGTAAGAGAACACTACATATCTACAGAAACGCACATGATCAAAGATAAAATCTCTCCAGAATGCATATGGGTCAATATAAAAGAGAAAAAAAGTGACATTACCATAGGTGTCTATTACAGACCACCCAAACAATCAGAAATAGATGAACTCTTTGCCAACCAGTTAACAAATGTATGTAGGAAGCATACCACAATAGTAATGGGAGACTTCAACTATCTAGATAGTTGACAAACTCTGCAGAGAGTGGGAGATCAAACAGATTCCTAACCAACCTAGCCGACAACTTTGTCATCCAAAAGGTGGAGGAGGGAACTAGAGGTAAAGCCATACTGGACTTAATTCTAACTAATAAAGAAGAAGTGATAGAGGGCATTGAAGTTGCCAAAACCTTTGGCAAAAGTGACCATGTCATACTGGAATTTAATATAACACAAATACTAGCAACAGAAAATAATCCAACCAGTGTCTTGAACTTCAAAAGAGCTGACTTTAACACACTCAGAGAAAACCTAGGAAAGATCCCATGGATGAAATCCTAAAGCGGAAAACAACCCAAGAAGCGTGGGAAACTCTCAAAAATATGATCATAAAAGCCCATGACAGCACAATAACACTGAAAAAGAAAAACAAGAAATTCAAGAAGAAACCAGCATGGCTGCACAAAGATCTTTCTGACAAACTGAAAGACAAAAAGGACAAATACAAAAAATGGAAAGAGGGGCACATAACTAAGGCCGATTATCAGCAGACAGACAGAACATATAAAGATGAAGTCAGGAAAGCAAAGGCTCAGAACGAACAAAGACTTGCAACAGAAATCATAGATAATTAAAAAAAAGTTTCTTCCAACATATTAACAACAAGGAAACTGTAGGTCCACTAAAGAGAGAAGATGACAAGGAAATAACAGGCAACAGGGAGAAAACAGAGCTGCTTAACTCATACTTTACATCAGTCTTCACACAAAAATAAACCATAGCCCAACATACAAAAAAAAAAAAACACCACTGCAAAAGACAAATTAGAAACAAAAATTAAAATAAGCAAGAAAATGGTAAGAGAACATCTATCCGACCTTGACGAATATAAATCACCGGGGCCTGACAGATTACATCCCAGAGTTCTGAAGGAGCTGACAGATGTTATCTCGGAACCACTGCACCACATCTTTCAAAAATCCTGGAGCACTGGGGAAGTACCTGAGGATTGGAAAAGGGCTGATGTGGTTCCCATCTTCAAGAAAGGGGAAAAAACGGACCCAGGAAACTACAGACCAATCAGTTTAACATCAATACCTGGGAAGATCCTAGAAAAGATAATCAAAAAACAGATCTGCGAACAACTAGAAGCAAACAAAGTTATAACTAGTAGCCAGCATGGGTTTGTTAAAAACAAATCATACCAAGCCAATCTTATTTCATTCTTTGACAAAGCGACTAAACTAGTAGACCAGCGAAATGCTGTGGACATAGTATACTTAGATTTCAGTAAGGCATTTGATAAAGTAGACCACAACCTACTCCTTGGGAAGCTAGAAAAAGGTGAAATAGACAACATCACCACCAGATGGATCTGTAGTTGGCTGGCAAACCAAACTCAACGAGTAGTCCTCAATGGCACTACATCCACATGGAGAGAAGTAAGCGGTGGGGTACCACAAGGTTCCATCCTAGGCCCAGTACTCTTCAGTATTTTCATCAATCACTTAGATGAGGGAATTGAAGGGGAACTCATCAAATTTTCAGATGACACCAAACTGACAGGAGTAGCCAACACCCCAGAAGACAAACTAAGGATCCAAAAATATCTTGACAAGCTTGAACAATGGGCCCTATCCAACAAAATGAGTTTCAATTTGGAGAAAAGCAAAGTTTTATATTTAGGCAGGAAAAACCAAAGGTACAAGTACAAATTGGGTGAGACCTGGTTTAAAAACAGTAACTGTGAGAGGGACCTTGGAGTCCTAGTGGATGATCACTGGACTATGAGCCAGCAGTGTGCAGCAGCAGCAGCCAAAAAAGCCAATACAATCCTGGGTTCTATAAACAGAGGCATAGAATCAAGATCATGCGAGGTATTAGTACCGCTTTATAAAACCCTAGTAAGACCACACCTGGAATACTGCAACCAATTTTGGTCACCATATCATAAAAAAGATGTTGAGAGTTTGGAAAAAAATCAGAGAAGAGCAACTAAGATGATCAAAGGCCTGGAGACTAAAACATACGAAGAAAAGCTGCAGGACTTGGGTTTGGCTAGTCTAAAGAAAAGAAGAAACAGGGGAGACATGATAGCAGTATTCCAGTATTTGAGGGGCTGCCACAAAGAAGAGGGGGTCACATTATTCATCAAAGCACCAGAGGGCAGGACAAGAAACAATGGTTAGAAACTGATCAAAGAGAGAGGCAACCTGGAGAAACTTCCTGACAATGAGGACAATTAACCAGTGGAACAGCTTGCCCCCAGAAATTGTGGGTGCTCTATCACTGGAGACTTTTAAAAAGAGGCTAGAGAGTCACTTGTCTGAGATGGTATAGATTCTCCTGCTTGAGCATGGGGCTGGACTAGAAGACCTCTAAGCTCCCTTCCAGCTCTATTCTATTCTAGTCTACTGGTTCCTAACATATAGCACAGTGGAGTATTGTAACTGCATAATCAACCCTGAGATTCAAATCCACACTAACATCAATGCAATTAGTAAAAATACAGTTTGGTTTTAGGAAATTGCTTCAGTTAGAATTCAAAAGATAGAGAAGATGTTTATTTTAAAACCTTCTGTCCATGAAATCAGACTATAGCTTAAGTGGATTGGAAAGCTGGATTCCAATGTAGAAAGATAAACAAACCAGCTTCCATGAAGATAGAGCATATTACCTGGAGAACAAACTATTGGGGGGTGGGGGGGAAACAGTACGTATACAATTAAACTCCAGAAACTAAGCTGGATCAAAATCTACATTTCTTCTGTACTAGAGGGTTTCTGACCTGCCAGGACTTAGAAGCCAGTCAAGGATGTTTGCAGAATTCTTTGCAATGGAGAGGAGTTTCCTCTGCAGTTATACCCAGTGATTTTGTTTTTTTAAAGGTGCCAGAACTCACACACGTCATACAACCCACCTTGCCTACCCTACAAGGTTCCATCCAAAAAAGGTGCCGGAACTCCGCTCTGGGCGTTCTATGAGAAAAAAAGCCCTGGTTGTACCCATGAAGAAAACATTTTTCAGGACACACACACACACACACCCAGTCATGGAGCTGAAGTGTTGTTCACCTATCCTTTGGTCAACAGAAACTTGATAGGCATAGTATTTGTCTTCCCCATTCATCTTTACCCTGCCTCTGTTTCAAATCACTGCCATCCCATAAATTCCCTTCAGGGGAATAGGTGACAAAGCCTAATAGATTTTGCAGACATGAAGCTTATCCTGGGATGGTGTCCGAATAAAAGGGGAACTGCTACATTAGCAACTGAGGGTGGATTAAGCTCGTCTCACCAGCTTACAAGGGGCATCCGTGCTGTGGT